CCCCAAAACCCCAAAACCCCAAAACCCCAATTGGAGAGGTTGTGGTTGAATATCTGGTATTTTTAAGGGGTTAACTCTCTGTTGGGGAAATTTCAGCATCTTGGTATTTTTCATCATCTGAAGATTTGTTTTCAAGCTATATGTTAGTAAATTGTTTACCTCATATAAATAAGAAGGCTCTATGATTTCTGTGCCTTTGAATTCATTTCAAAGGGCAGAGAAGTTTATTAAATCTTGCTTGCTATAACTCTCGTACATTTTAGCTTCGAAAAATCAATTATGAATATCTTTCATCTCATTTAACATTTGGTTGCGTATTTTTAATAAATTTTTGACTAACTTTCTCATTGTGAATCAGAATTTCTTTGTCCTATTAGTGACTTTACTCCATCAACTAATCACTGCTTCAGAAAATGGATACTTATAGAAACTAGATTCAATGAAATAACGATTGCGGCATCTTTTCTCTGTTCTCTCTTCACATTTATTCACTGTATCTTGATTTCTAGTATGAGCACGATAATACTTGCTCAGGATGCGATCGTTTCTGATTTTGTCTCTCGCCATATCAAATAACTTCTTTGTCTCAACATGACTAAAAGCAGCTAAAAGAACCTTAAAATTAAGAGGCATTAAGTTATCAATTATTTTCCTAAACGAATCCTTAATAACTTGGATTCGTAAAGATCCATAGGGCCCCTCTGCATCTCTACAGGTCTCATACATAGACATCCTGAACTGATCTGGATTTTGGGTGACTATCTTAGGAAGCACTCAGTACATAAAGTCTTCTTCTTGTTGGAGTTTGGTCAGAAGATCGTTAGTTGGAGACATTTTAGAAATCGCTTGTATACTAGCCTTAAGCTTTTTATTCTCTTCTTCCAGCTCTTCTACTCTCCTTTCAAGATCTTCATAGTATTTCTTTTTTCTCTGCCTGTGGATCTTGGATCTCTCTTTCACACTGAGAGTTTTATCTTTCTTGGCTCTTTCCTTAATAACTCTCTTTTTGTTCATTTCTAAAATATAAAATTAAGTCAATTTATCAAATGAGAATTGGGGTTTTGGGGTTTTGGGGTTTTGGGGTTTTGGGG